ATGTCTTATGTATCTGGGTGCTCCTATATTGAGTGCATATATATTTATGATCATTGACTCCTGTTGTTGCGTTGATCCTTTTTTCATTATGTAATGTCCTTCTTTGTTTCTTTTAGTCTTTGTTACTATTAAAGTCTATTTTGTCAGAGACGAAAGTTACAACTCCTGGGTTTTTGTTTTTTCTCTCCATTTGATTGGTGAGTCTTCTTCCAACCCTTTGTTTTGAGTCTTTGTGTGTCCTTGCTTATGAGATGGGTCTGGATATAGCGTACCAATGGGTTTTGGCTTTTTATTCAATTTGCTTGTCTGTGTCTTTGATTGGGGCATTTAATCCATTTAAATTTAGGATTAATATCGATATTTGTGAGTTTAATATTGTTGTTTAATGCGAGCTGGCTATTTTGCCCATTAGTTGATATATATTCTTCGTTATGGAGATACTCTTTACCTTTTGGTAAGTTTTTGGGATGACTGATACTGGTTGTTCCTTTCTGTGTATAGTGCTTCTCTCAGAAGCTCTTGTAAAGCAGGCCTGGTGGTGATTAAATCTCTGAGTGCTTGCTTGTTCACGAAAAATTTTATTTTTCCTTCATTTATGAAGGTTAATTTGGCTGGATATGAGATTCTGGGTTGAAAATTCTTTTCTTTGAGGATATTGAATATTGACCCCCACTCTCTTCTAGTTTGTAGGGTTTCAGCTGAGAGATCTGCTGTGAGTCTGATAGGCTTCCCTTTATGGGTAACCTGACCTTTCTCTCTAGCTGCCCTTAGAATTTTCCCCTTTATTTCAACCGTGGTGAATCTAACGATTATGTGTCTTGGGGTTGCTATACTTGAGGAATATCTTTGTGGTGTTCTCTGTATTACCTGAAGTTGAGTATTGTCCTGCCTTACTAGGTTAGGAAAGTTTTCCTGAATAATATCCTGAAGAATATTTTCCAGCTTGGATTCATTCTCTTCATGACATTCAGGTACACCTATCAAATGTAAATTAGGTCTTTTCACATAGTCCCATATTTCTTGGAGACTTTGCTCATTCCTTTTTACTCTTTCTTCTTTAATCTTGTCTTCTCATTTCATTTCATTAAGTTGGTCTTCGACGTCTGATATCTTTTCTTCTGCTTGATCAATTCGACTGTTAAAACCTGTGCATACTTCGCGGAGTTCTCGTGTTGTTTTTCAACTCCGTTAATTCATTTATATTCCTCTCTATATTGTCTATTCTTGTTAGCATTTCGTCAAACCTTTTTTCAAGGTTCTTAGTTTCTTTACATTGGGCTAGAACATGTTCTTTTAACTCACAGAAGTTTCTTATTATCCACCTTCTGAAAGCTAAATCTGTTAATGGAACGCACTCGTTCTCCATCAGGCCTTATTCCCTTGTTGATGAGGAACTGTGATCCCCTGTAGAGGGAGAGGCATTCTGATTTTGGGTATTCTCAGCCTTTTTACGCTGGTTTCTTCCCATCATTGTAAATTTATCCACCTATCATCTTTATAATTACTGACTTTCAAATTAGGTCTCTGAGTGGACATCCAACTTGTTGATTCCCAGCGCTGGAATCTGAGCAACCCACTCTGCCAGCTAAAACAGTGGTGTTAAGATTCGTGGTTCTTTTCTGCCCAGGAATCTCTGGTCTGGCTTCCTTCTTGAGTTCCTTTTTCAATCAGCTGAATAGGTGACTCTACCTTCCTGGAGCTCCAAATGTAGACCAAAAGGGGACCCAGTCCTATTTACTCTGCACCAAGAACCACTGAGCCAGGGCACCAACAAAACTGCCGCACCAGCCACAAGAGTCATGCTGGCGACCCGTGGAGCTCCTCTGCTGGGAATCTCCTGATTCGTGAGCCACAAAAATTCATCTGAAAGTGTGGCGTCCTCTTGTTCTCTGCGCTTTCACTGGGAGCTACAATCCCGAGCTGCTAGTAATCAGCCATCTTGGATCTCTCTAAAACTTTTATTTTTCTTAGGCATAATTGATCTAACAGATATCTGCTTGTTTAAAATAATTAGAACAGGCCGGGCGCGGTGGCTCACGCCTACAATCCCAGCACTTTGGGAGGCCAAGGCAGGTGGATCATGAGGTCAAAAGATCAAGACCATCCTGGTCAACAAGGTGAAACCCCGTCTCTACTAAAAATACAAAAATTAGCTGGGCATGGTGGTGTGCGCCTGTAGTCCCAGCTACTCGGGAGGCTGAGGCAGGAGAGTTGCTTGAACTCAGGAGGCGGAGGTTGCAGTGAGCCGAGATCGTGCCATTGCACTCCAGTCTGGGTAACAACAGCGAAACTCCGTCTCAAATAATAATAATAATAATAATAATTAGAGCAACAATGTTTTCAATTATACACACACCTATGCTCATTTGCTTAAAGTGAATGAATGACAACAGTCATACATATGATTGTTCTGTTATTATAAGGTACTTGCACTGCCTGTGAAGAGGTATAGTGTTATTTGAAAATGGACTTCCATTAGTTGGAAATGTATATTGCAAACTTTAGGGCAACTACCTAAAAAAATTCTTTTAAGTATAACTGATATTCTAAGAAAGGAGAGAAAAATAAAATCATTTAAAATGTTTAATTAAAGCCACAAAAGACAGGAAAATAGTAGAAGACAAAAAAGAGATAGGGCAACAAATAGAAAATAGTAACAAATATGGTAGATGTTAATCCAACTATATCAAGAATCATTTTTAATATCATGGTCTAAATGCACCAATTAAAAGACAGATTGTCAGAATGGATTAAAAGAACAAGACTTAGTTATATGTTGTCTTTTAAGAAACCCACTTAAATATAAAGACACATATTGATTAAAAGTAAATGAATGGAGAAAGACGTACCATGCTAATACTAATAAAAAGAAAGTGGGAAAAAAATTAGCCAAGCATAGTGGTGTACACCTGTAGTCCCCACTACACAGGAGGCTGAAGTAGGAGGATCACTTGACCCCAGGAAGTCAAGGCTGCAGTGAGCTATTATCATGGCACTGTACTGCAGCCTGGGCAGCAGAGCAAGACTGTGAAGAGGAAGAAGACAGAGAAGGAGAGGAGGAAGAAGAAAGAGGAGGAGGAAGGGAGAAGGAGGAGGAAGAAGAGGGGGAGGGGAAGGATAAGAAGGAAGAGGGGGAGGAGGAGGGAGGTGGAAGAGGAGGAGGGGGAAAGGAAATGAAAGTGGCTTTATTAATTTAAGACAAAGCAAACTCCATGGCAAAGAAAGTTGTCAGGGATAAAGAGAGGCATTGCCAGGTGATAAAACATAATGATCCTTAACATGCGTGTCCCTAACAGCAGAGCATCAAACTACATGAGGCAAACTGATAGAACTGCAAAGAGAAATAGATGCATCTACTATTGTAGTTGGAGACTTCAAGACCTCTCTATCAGAGGTGGAAAAATCCAGGCAGGAGTATCAGTAAGGACATAGTTGAACTCAACAACACCATTAATTAAATGTATATAATGGATATTTGTAAACTACTTCATTTGACAACAGCAGAATACACATTCTTCTCAAGCTCACATGGGACATTCACCAAGACAGATCACATTCTGGACCAAAAAACATACCTTAACAAATGTAAGCACCAGAAATTATACAACGTCTGCTTTCAGAACACAATGGAGTTAAAACACAAATCAATAACAGAAAGATAGTTGAAAAATACCAGAATGCTTGGAGATTAAACAACACACTTCTCAATAACACATGGATCAAATAAGAAATCTCAAGATAGAAGCCGGGCATGGTGGCTCACGCCTATAGTTTCAGCACTTTGGGATGCTGAAGTGGGTGGATCACCTTAGGTCAGGAGTTTGAGACCAGCCTGGCCAACATGGTGAAACCCCATCTCTACTAAAAATACAAAAATTAGCTGGGTGTGGTGGCCTGCATCTGTAATCCCAGCTACTCAGGAGGCTGAGGCAAGAGAATCACTTGAACGCAGGAGGCAGACGTTGCGGTGAGCTGAGATCACACCATTGCACTCCAGCCTGGGCAACAAGAGCAAAACTCCATCTCTCTCTCTCTCTCTCTACATGTATATATATAGATAGATTTGGAAAAAAAATCTAGATTATCTTGGGTTTGGCAATGACTTTTGAGATACAACACTAAAAGCCCAATTCGTGAAAGAAAATATTGGTAAGCTGGAGTTCATTAAAGTTAAAAAGTTCTGCTGTTGACACACAGTCAAGAGAATGAAAAGATAAGCCACATACTGAGAGGAAATCTTTGCAAAAGACATATCTGGGCTGGGTGCCATGGTTCACACCTATAGTCCTAGCACTTTGGGAGGATCGCTTGAGGTCTGGAGTTTGAGACTAGCCTGGCCAACATGGCAAAACCCCATCTCTACTAAAAATACAAAAATTAGTCCCAGCTACATGGGAGGCTGAGGCAAAGAACTGCTTGAACCCAGGAGGTGAAGGTTGCAGTGAGCCGAGATCATGCCACTGCACTCCAGCCTGGGTGACAGAGTGAGATACCCTCTAAACAAAAAAATGACGTATCTTTTAACGGATTGTTATCTAAAATATACAAAGAACTCTTGAGGCTGGGTGCAGTGATTCACGGCTGTAATCCCAGCACTTTGGGAGGCCGAGGTGAGTGGATCACTTGTGGTCAAGAGTTCAAGACCAGCCTGGACAAAATGGTGAAAACCTGTCTCTACTAAAAATACAGAAATTAGCCAGGTGTGATGGAGCATGCCTGGAGTTCCAGTTACTTGGGAGGCTGAGGCAGGAGAATTGCTTGGACACGGGAGGCAGAGGTTTCAGTGAGCCAAGATTGTGCCACTGCATTCCAGCCTGGGTGAGTGAGATTCCATCCAAAAAGAAAAGGCCAGGCGCAGTGGCTCACACTTGTAATCCCAGCACTTTGGGAGGCTGAGGCAGGTGGATCACAAAGTCAGGAGTTTGAGACCAGCCTGGCCAATATGGTAAAATCCTGTCTCTACTAAAATACAGAAATTAGCTGGGTGTAGTGGCACGCACCTGTAGTTCCAGCTATTCGGGAGGCTGAGGCAGGAGAATCACTTGAACCCGTGAGGCAGAGGTTGTGGTGAGCTGAGATCGCGCCACTGTATTCCAGCCTGAGTGATACAACAAGACTCCATCTCAAAAAAAAGAAAGAAAGAAAGAAAGGAACTATGAAGCCACGAAGAGATATGGAAGAACCGTCAATGCATATTACTAAGTGAAAGAGTCATACTGTATGATTACAATTACATGACATTCTGGAAAAGGCAAAACTGTGGAGGTAGTGAAACGATCAGTGGTTGACCAGGGTTGAGAGGAGGAAGGAATGAATAGGCAGAGCACAGAGGATTTTTTAGGGCAGTGAAAATACCCTGTATGATATACTACAATGGTACATAAATGCCATTACATATTTGTCAAAACCCATACAATGTACAACACCAGGAGTAATCCTTAATGTGGACCGTGGTCTTTGGGTGATAATGTGTCAATGTTGGTTCATCAGTTGTAACAAATATGCCACCCTGGTGGGGGATGTTGATAGTGAGGGAGGCCATGCATATGTAGGTCAGGGAGTGATGGGAAATCTTTGAATCTTCTACTCAGTTTTGCTGTGAACCTAACACTGCTCTAAAAATTAAAGTATATTTTAAAATTGATGGGATTATACTATGTACAATTTTCTGTATCTTGACTATCTTTATTTTTTAATTTTTTGTGGAGACAAGGGTTTTGGTATGCTGGTCTTGAACTTCTGGACTCAAGCGATCCTCCCACCTCAGCCTCCCAAAGCACTGGGATTACAGGCATGAGCCATTGTTAATGACCTTTTTTTTTTTTTTGGAGACAGAGTTTCATTCTTGTTGCTTAAGCTGGAGTGCAATGGTTTGATCTCTGCTCACTGCAACCTCCGCCTCCCAGGTTCAAGTGATTCTCCTGTCTCAGTCTCCCAATAGCTGGGATTACAGGTGCCCACCACCACATCCAGCTAACTTTGTATTTTTAGTAGCGACAGAGTTTATCCATGTTGGTCAAGCTGGTCTTGAACTCTCAACTTCAGGTGATCTGCCTGCCTCAGCCTCCCAAAGTGCTGGGATTACGGGTGTGAGCCACCACTCCTGGCCTCCTCCTTTTTATTTATTAATATATCTTAGAAAGATTTTCCATGGGCTGGGCACAGTGGTTCATGCCTGTAATCCCAGCACTTTGGGAGGCTGAGGTGGGTGGATCACGAGGTCAACAGATCAAAAGCATCATGGCCAACAGGGTGAAACCTGGTCTCTACTAAAAATACAAAAATTAACTGGGCATGGTGGCACATGTCTGCAGTCCCAACTACTCCAAAAATTGAGGCAGGAGAATCACTTGGACCCGAGAGGTGGAGGTTATCCCACTGCACTCCAACCTGGCAACAGAGCAAGACTCTGTCTCAACAACAACAACAAAAAGAGAGATTGCCCCACTGCACTCCAACGTGGCAACAGAGCGAGACTCTGTCTCAAAAAAAAAAAAAAAAAAAAGATTTTCCATGACAACATATACAACTGTACTCCATTCAATCAAATGGATTAATACTATGTCATGGCATAGATACCATCATAAGTTATATAGCCAGATGCCTCTTAGTAGACATGTTTTTGGTCCCTTGTTATAGATAATACTTCAGTGAACACCCTTGTATTCATCCTTTGTGTACACACAAGGGAACAGCCATAGGATAAAGTTGAGTCAAGGGGTAAGTATATTTACAAGAGTGAACGTACCACCCTCCCACTCCAAAGCCAATGGAGACGTCCCACCATTACAGTCAATGATGGTGACCACTCAGTCTACTTTGTGGCTTTGAGAAGTAGGTATCACCAAGAGGTGAAGAGACTAGCCCAGTGACACACAGTTAAATGATTTTTCCCAATAAATACACGTGATACAAAATTCAAAAAGAATATAACGTTATGCCAGTTAGGACTAGGTTTGTCTGCATGTGATATAAAAAAATCAAAATAATTGTGGTTTAATGACCCAAGGCTGGGTGCCGTGGTTCACATCTGTAATCCCAGCTCTTTGGGAGGCCAAGGTGGGAGGATCACTTGAGGCCAGGAGTTCGAGACCAGCCTGGACAACATAGCAAGACCCCATCTCTACCAAAAATTTTTTTATTTAGCTGAGCATGGTGGCAAATGCCTGTGGTCCCAGCTACTTGGGAGGCTGAGAAGGGAGGATTGCAGGAGTTCGAGGCTGCAGTAAGCCATGATCCCACCACTGTACTCCAGCCTCAGTGATAGAGCAAGACTGTCTCAAAAATAAAATAAATTACTCAAGGTTATTATCTCTTATATAAAACAAATGCCCCAGAGTGGGGCAGTCCAGAGCTGGTATCATAGCACCTGAAGTCATTAGCAACTTCCTGCTTTCTGCTCCACCACTCCTGGGGTGTGGTCCCTATCTTTATTGTCAAAGATGCCTGTTAGATTCCTGACCATCACATCTGCATTCCAGGCAGCTGGATGGAGAAAGCGATGAAGAAATATGGGACAAAGATTACCCGGTAGCATCTTTATAAATCTATTTGTATAAAGTTTTTTTTTTTTTTTTCTTTTAGACGGAGTTTCGCTCTTGTTACCCAGGCTGGAGTGCAATGGCGCAATCTCAGCTCACTGCAACCTCCACCTCCTGGGTTCAGGCAATTCTCCCGCCTCAGCCTCCTGAGTAGCTGGGATTATAGGCACACGCCACCATGCCCAGCTAATTTTTTGTATTTTTAGTAGAGACGGGGTTTCACCATGTTGACCAGGATGGTCTCGATCGCTTGACCTCATGATCCACCCACCTCGGCCTCCCAAAGTGCTGGGATTACAGGCGTGAGCCACCGCGCCCGGCCATAAAGTTGTTCTTTAACATCACAAAATACATCTACATGTATTTTGCTTAGTCATATGGTCACATCTAGCTGCAAGGGAGGTTGAAAAATGCAGTTTTTATTCTCTACAGTCAAAGTCTTAGCTAAAAATTGGGGGTTCTAAATACTAAGGAGGAAGGGATGAATAGATATTGTAGCAAGCAATTTGTCTCTGTCGTGGTTACATTGCAAAAAACAAACTTACCTCCTTTCCCAGGCAGCCATTGTTAACATGTCTTGAATATCTAGAAAAAATCCTTTGTTCAGGACTTTTTTCCTACTCTGCCAAGAGTCATCATGACCCGCTCACACTCCACCCTTATGAATTTGTCCCGCCACTTCGCATCTCTTATTTGATTCTCACAAAAGCTCTTCAGTGGGTTGGGCAGATCCCATGATCCTCATTTCATCCGGGAAGAAACTGAGGCCTAGAGGGGGAAACTGACTGCCTAAAATCGTCATGTAAAGGATAGAGGCAGGAAAAAGTGGGGCGTGTTTCCCAAACACAGGACACATGCAAGATGCATTGGGCAGCCAGTGGCGAACATGTGGTTCCATTTCCAATTTCTTCCATAACTTTAAGGAGAAAGTTTCAGTTTGGGGCTAATGCATCTTTAACTCCCCTCACATTTACTAACAGGTCTTTTAAACAAAGAGGAATCGGCCCTCAGGCTAGATTCTAAGAACATTGTTTTGATTTCATTATACCTATATTTATAGTGTTTTTCTATTTATGGCAGATGATCCTGGTTTCCTTTTCTTCGAAAGTAATTTAAATTTACTTTTTAAGCAAATGCATCTAAGTTAAAAATGAATTTATTCAAAGAAAAAGCATGCAGTAAGGAACTCTCTGTGCTTGAATAGATTCCCCCATTCACTAGCTGAGTGACATCGGATGAGACACTTGGTATCTCTAAGCCTCAGTTTCCTCATAAGTATAATGAGGGTGGTATTTTTTCCCACATCATGGATTTTTTAAATTAATAATAGGATTAAATGAGATAATGAATGTCAGAAACTTAGCACCCTAGCACATAGTTAAGTATTCAACACTTTTTTTTTTTTTGAGATAGAGTCTTGCTTTGTCGCCCAGGCTGGAGTGCAGTGGTGCGATCTTGGCTCACTGCAATCTCCATCTCCTGGGTTCAAGCAATTCTCTCCTGCCTCAGCCTCCCAAGTAGCTGGGATTACAGGCATGCACCTCCATGCCCAGTTAATTTTGTTATCTTTAGAAGAGACGGGGGTTTCACCATGTTGACCAGGCTGGTCTCGAACTCCTGACCTCAGGTGATCCACCTGTCTCGACCTCCCAAGGTGCTGGGATTACAGGTGTGAGCCATTTACACCCGGCCACTCAACACTATCTTTAATAATATTATCACAATATTAAAAATATTAATATTCGTCTTTTGTCATAATACCTCCTGGCTGCTTGGAGCAGAGAAAGTCAGTGGGACTGTGGGGTAGCTGGATAGAGATCCCTCACCCTAGGACTTCTGCCCCTACACCACTGGTTCTCAGCCAGGGATAATCTCCTCATTGGGAACTCTTTTTTTTTTTAGACTATGTCTCTCTGTTACCCAGGCTGTAGTGCAGTTGTGCAATCTTGGCTCACTGCAGCTTTGATCTTCGGGCTCAAGCAATCCTTCCACCTCAGCCTCCTGAGGACCTGGGACTAAAGGTGCATGCTGCCATGCCCAGCTAATTTTCGTAGATGTGGGTTTTCACATTGTTGCTCCAGGATGATCTTAAACTCTTGGCCTCAAGTGATTCTCCCACCTTGGCCTCCCAAAGTGCTGGGACTACAGGTGTGAGCCACCCATGCTCAACTGACGGTTTTTAATCATTATGACTGGGGTTGGTGGTGGCCGTGGCATCTGGTGGGTAGAGGCCAGGGATGACACTGGTTGACCCCTACTATGAAGAATCGTCTAGCTTGAATATCAAGAGCATTAAGGTTGAGAAACCTTGTGCCATCCTGCACCCGGATATGTGCCTACCAGCAGCTGGCTCTTCAGCCAGCTCATTATTTCCAAAAGAGACTTGAGCTTGGAATCCAAAGGCCTCAGCCCCAGTTTCCTCATCCAGTAAATGGGAATGCTGAAGCCTGCCTTATCTGCAGTCATTCCATCTCCTGATGGTTGGCTCTCCTGGGCACTTCCCCGGCCTAGGCTATCTCTACTGGTCCCTTCCTATCTTTTTCCCAGGTGCAAGGAAACCCATCTAATTGGCTTTTCTTCATTTGCTTGACTTCTGATATTTCCCATTCTGAGAGTGGCCTCTGGGGCCCCACAGCCACCATCTGAAACCATGCAGGCTGTGTGCCCCAGCCATCTCTGACTACTCCTGGTATTGTGGGTAGGAGCTGCTGGTCTTTTTCCTTTGAAGCATGCCTGACATGTGAAACTCTTCTATTTGTATGTTGATTTGTTGACTGTATTCCTCCCCACACGCCTCCGCCCTGAGGACAGACACCAAGCCTGCTGTCCCTGGCACACTGCACAGTGCCTGGCACATACTGGGCAAACAGGAATGTATTTGTGGGATCTATGAGGCGAGAGGCAAAAAGAGAGGATAAGGTGAGGGGACAGATATAGAGAAGGGGGAAAAGAGAAAAGGAATAGAGAGGAGGAGGGAGTTGAATGAAAGTTAAATGCTGAGTAAGGGGGAAAGTGGGCAGGGCAGGGCGGGGGTCCAGACTGCGACTTGAGCACAAGGTGGACTTGCCAGAGAGAGAGAGGGGTGCAAAAAAAAAAAAAAAATGAAAAGGGTGGAGAAAAGAAAGGAATGGAGACACAGAACGAAAGGGAGAGAGAGGCAGAGAGAACGTGCAGGCGGAAAGCAAAGGGAAGAAAACCTCCCGGAGGCCTCAGTGCTCAGGTTGCAGAGGGGAGGACCACCTGCAGGAGCCGGCGTCGCGCTGCTGGGAGCGCCAGGATGCAGGCGCGGTTTCCATGGAGACGGGATGCTCCCAGCGGGAGCCACAGACTGCAGCAGGACCCGCACCTCTGAAACCTTGGGAGTGGACGGCCAGAGAAGGGATGAAGGGACGGTGTGGATTTGCCCCTCCTCGGGCTCTTTCCCACTCCTGCCTCCTGCTGGAGATTTAGAGCCCGGGAATAGGGAGGCAGAAGCACACCTGCCTGGGAAGGGGCCCTGGGGACTCCGAGGGCGGGGGAAGGATGGGCTGAGACCACTCCTCGCCCTACCCCGTTCCCTTCCTTGGGGTTTGACCCTCCTATCCTTTCACATAGGGTCCTGGAGGGTCTGGCAAACTGCAAGGCTATGTGGGGAGATGGATGGCCAAACCTTCTCTGCAGGACCCTCCTCCTCCTCCTCCCGCTCTGTTAATGCTGGAGCACCAAGGCTCAGTCCTAAGCCTTCTCTTCAGTTTCTACCATTTCCAGTCATTGGGATGTAAATACCTACAAGTGCCCACAGTTCCCAAATTTGCATGACCAGCCCTGGCTTTTCCCAGCACTCTGACCTGTTCAAAGTTGCTGATTCTTTAACTCACCCACCTTGTTCCCACCACAGGGCTTTTCTTTTGCCATTCCCTTTGCCTGGAACTCTTTTCCCAGCCCTTAGGTGGTGAGGTCCGCTGGAATGGAGAATTGCCTTGGAGGAGGAGCGTTGGTGGGGGGAGGAGCCCTGCTGCAGTGCCTGTGTGACCACAGTATTGTAGGGGGAGCCTGCACCTGGAAGAGGAGCACAGAGTTGGGGAGAAGGGGAGGACTGGCTGAATCTGGCAGTGCCACGATGGGGAGGAGGGCCCACTCCATTGGAAACCAGAGGAGGCTGGGGCCTGGGAGCATTCCCTCCACAGTAGATGTGGGAAGGATCTGGCACAGCCAAGGAAGGGCCCCCTCCCACCCTGGGGACTAGATGGGCCAGGTGGACACTGGGCAGAGCTGACCGCCACCCCCACTTTGCATTGCTGCCATCTAAAGCCCAGGCTAAGCACCCCATGGACCTGGTGCAGGCTCAAGGTCTCCACGGTTCCAAACAGAGCCCTGTGGAACCTTTGGGTCTCAGACACAGTAACCCAAATGCTGGCAGGACTGACAGTACGAGGGCCCCATCAAGCTGGTGATGGAGCTGGTGGAGAGGGAGACCCCCATCTCCACAGTGGCCTGCCAAACCTGGGGTTCTGACTGCCCTGTGATGTGGCATATGCCGTTTTTCAAGCCAATCACTCTTACTAGAAGAACACACTGTGCTGATTAGCTCAGGCTTGGGTCTCATCCGCTAGGCCAAGTGCTGACCAAGGGCCCACCTGGGCTGGGATTGGGACAGGTGGGTTGCTAAATCCAAAGCAGGTAGATGCTAGCTAGGAAACCATTGTCCACGCCCTTCTGAGCCTGCCCCCTCTTCTCTTCTTTGCCTCTGTCCTCCTCACCTGAAACCAACTCTCCGCATTACTTTCTTAGGTAATTATTACTTTTGGTGTTGTAACTGGTTTTGATAACAGCCAAGATTTACCCAGAACTTACTGTACCAGGTACTTTACATTTTGCTGCCTTCTGTAATCTTTACAACCACTTGAGGATACCATCATTATTCTCATTGTACAGATGAGGAAACTGAGGCTTAAAAGTGAAGGAATTTGATTAGTGCGGCACATCTAGAAATTAACTAAGTCAGGATTTGAGACCCAGACTTCTTAATTGCCTTGCTATTACGTACCTCTCCCCACACTACGTTGCAAGCTCCACGAAGCTAAAATCCAAGTATCCTACCTCCTAGGCCTGGTCTAGTGCCTGGCATATGGTAGACCCGGGTAAATATTACCTGAGTGCCTGGCACTGTGCTAAGTTTCTTGCACAAATTACTTCATTTAATCCTCCTAATAGCCCTGTGAGGTAAGTATCCTGGTATTACCTCACAGGCCTGTTCAAGTTCGGTGGCATCCCCCAAGGTCATACAGCCAAGTTAGGGGAAGAACTGGGCTAAGTCCTATCATTGGCACTCCATAGTCTGTGCTCCTAGCAAAGTGCTCAATTGCATGAATGCTGTGTATTCCAGCATTGAGAATGAAAGGGAAACGGTTCCCAATAAACATTTGATGAGTGAATGACAAGAATTTAAAAAATGAAGAACAATGAGGGTGGGCACGGTGGCTCACACCTGTAATCCCAGCACTTTGGGAGGCTGAGGTGGGGAGAAGTCTTGAGGTTGGGAGTTCGAGACCAGCCTGGCCAACATGTTAAACTCCGTCTCTTCTAAAAATATAAAAATGAGCTAGGCATGGTGGGGTGGCACCTGTAGCCCCAGCTACTCAGGAGGCTAAGGCCTGAGTATTGCTCGAGCCCTGGAGGGTGGAGGTTACAGTGAGATCTCACCATTGCACTCCAGCCTGGGTGACAGAGACTCCGTCTCAATAATTATACTGATGATGGGAGAGGGAGTTGGTCCCGATGCTAGAGAAAGTTGAAGGAGATGGCTCTGGATAGCTGTTTTCTCATATTCCCAGAAGGCTTCCTGGAGAAATTGATCTGATGGGGGAGGGCGAGGCGTTTCAGGTTCCAGAAAGTTTCTGCCACCCATCCTAGACTTCTTTCTCTCTCTCTTTTCCCTGCCTCCACCCTCTCTCTTTCCCTCTCTGGAAGTGGGTAACAAGCACGTGGTTGGGTTGATGCTCCCGCAATAATACCCGGCCCAGACTGCAGACACTAGGGAGTAATGGTCTTCTTCTCTTCCTTCCTGACCGTGATGGTGGGCCCGGTGCTCGTGCCCCTCAGCTCTGTGCCTCGTCCTGGGCTGCATGATCTTCCCTGACGGCTGGGACGCCGAGACCATCCGGGACATGTGTGGGGCCAAGACGGGGAAGTACTCCCTGGGGGACTGTTCGGTACGCTGGGCTTACATCCTGGCCATCATCGGCATCCTCAACGCCCTCATCCTCTCCTTCCTCGCCTTCGTGCTGGGCAACCGGCAAACAGACCTGCTGCAGGAGGAGCTCAAGCCGGAGAACAAAGGCGAGTGTGCTGTGGGTTGGGGGACAGCGGAGAGAGCCAGGCCTGCTCTGGGGAGGCGGGACAACTTCAAATAAAAGGAGTAAGAGGGAGGCATGAATTGGAAACCCTGGCTGGGCATGGTGGTTCATGCCTGTAATTCCAGCACACTTTGGGAAGCCAAGGCAGGTGGATCACTTGAGCCCAGGTGTTTGAGAGCAGCCTGGCCAACATGGCAAAATCCCCTCCCTCCAAAAATCCAAAAACCAGCTGGGCGTGGTGGTGAATGCCTGTGGTCCCAGATACTCAGGAGGCTCAGGTGAGAGGATCACCTGAGCCTGGGAAGTCATGGTTGCAGTGAGCTGTGATTGTGCCACTGCACTCCATCCTGGATGATAGAGTGAGAGGCTATCTCAAAAAAGAAGAAGAAGAAGAAGAAAAGAAGAAGAAGAAGAGGAGGAAGAAGAAGAAACCTGATAGTACAGCCACCTTTCAAATTATTTGGCATTCTTCCTCAGATCTGATCATTTGCCTATGACCCAGCGAACCCTTCTTGGGTACAAACCCATGAGAAGTGTGCAGGGGTGCTGGTGGCCGCAACTTCACTATAGCAAACAACTACAAACAATCTAATGGCCATGGATGGGAGGCCGGATAAAGACATGTGGCATGTTCCCATCACAGGGCAGCTCACAGCTGTGAAATGTTGCACTTCAATTATATGTACCACAGTGGCTGTATCTCAGCAATATAATATTAAGAGAGGGGGAAAAAACCAACTTCCAGAAGATGACAGAGTGATATATTTATTGAGCTCGAAACTAAGCAAAACTAAGCAATATATTGTTTAAACACACATGTATTTGAGGCAATATTTTTTTTAAAAAAGCAAAGAAATAATAAATATGAAAGATAAGATGACAGTCATTTGTGTTTATAATGGAAGCGGAGGAGGTCAAGTATATGAGATGGAGCATGGAGTTATATGCAAATTATGGGTACAGTTATTGTTCTTTTTTTTTTTTTCCTTGAGATAGAGTCTTGCTCAGTTGCCCAAGCTGGAGCACAGTGGCACAGTCTGAGCTCACTGCAACCTCCACCTCCCAAGTTGCTAGAAATAGATGTTTAGTGCCACAAAGAAAAATCAGCACTGAGACAAAGGATTTTTCAGCAAAGCAATTTTTACTTCCTGGACTGCAGGAAGGGTACTCCCAGTAGCCATCGTGCCACAAGAGTACAAAGAACAAAGGGAGACACAAATTTATTTTTATGCATTTGGGGTCGTCCTTACTGCTGTGTCTGATCTCTGTTGGCTGCAGCCAGACCTCACAATTTAAACTTTTCTAAACAAGTAGAAGCAACGGAGAGCTGGGACATGCCTGTGAGCACATTCAGCACAGATATCTTGGTTAAAGTACAAGGACGTAGAATGTGCTATATGCCTGTAAGCACAGCATGTCTAACAGCTACATAGGATAAGGTTTCACACGGTTATTAGCACACTTATTCTTTAACAAGAAAGGTAACTTTAAAAAGGAACTTTTCTACTTCCCACACAGGTTCAAGTGATCCTTGTGCCTCAACCTCCTGAGTAGCTGGGATTACAGGCATGTGCCTCCACACCCGGCTAATTGTTGTATTTTAGTAGAGATAGTGTTTCACCATGTTGGCCAGGTTGGTCTCAAATTCCTGGCCTCAAGTGATCTGCTTGCCTCAGCGTCCCAAAGTGTTGGGATTACAGGCATAAGCCACCACACCTGGCTGAGTTATAGTTACTGAATGGTGAGCTCACCAGTGTTTATAAGAGATCAGGGTGGTGGACGGGTCTCACTCTGTTGCTCAGGCTGGAGTACAGTGGTGCAATCATAGTTCACTATAGCCTCAATCTCCTGGACTTAAGCGACCCTCCTGCCTCAGCCTCCTGAGTTGCTGGGACTACAGGCATACACCATCACACCTGACTAATTTTTGTATTTTTTGTAGAGACGAGGTTTCCCCATGTTGCCCAGGCTGGTCTTGAACTTCTGGCTTCAAGCAATCCTTCTGCCTTGGCCTCCCAAAGTGCTGAGATTACAGGTGTGAGCGATACATTGTATGCTTTATAATTAGTGTATTGCATATAAATATTCATATATATCAAGCAGCAATAAAATACAATAAAGAAAAAAGGCCAGGTTTCAGAGAACTCCAGAGCTCCAGTAACTTGCCCAAGGTCACTTAAGTGGTGAAGGCAGAATCTGAACCCAGGTCCAAGTCCGAAGCCCAAGCTCTTCCCCGCTGTCACGCTGCCTATCTCAACCTGGTGAAGCCCCAGATTTCCTGCATGGCTTTGGGAGCTGTCCTGGGATGCCGATCTGCTCATCTGTAGTCAGAGGCAGGTTCTAAATACCTGATGCAGTCTCTCAGACCCCGGTTTTTCTGTGGACTTCGTGAGAAATCAAGGCCTGCCCTCTGGTGGCATCTTCTAGAAGTGCAAGACTAAGACTGATCTGGCCTTTAAGAAGGGGTGTGGATGTGACTAGTGTGAGGTGGCCCCCGTCAGTGTCCCTCTCCTCCCTCCCCAAAGCCCTCTAACAACTCAGTGTTAAAAATTGATGTAAAGGAGCCCCAGTTGTCCTTCCTCGAGTGTCCAGGGAGTTTCCGTCCCTCACTGGCAGTTCATGATGAGTGAGCCTCACACTTCAGTTTTGACCCAAAGACTTCTGAGCCAACAGCCATGGCATGCACCTGTGGTCCCCGCTACCAGGCTGAGGCCGGAGGATCGCTTGAGCCCACGAGTTCAAGACCAGCCTGGGTGATGTAACAAAACCCAATTTTTATTAAAAAGAAAGAAATTTTAAAAAAATTAAAAAAGACCTCTGGAACCCAAGAAAAAAATAAATTGCTTCAATTTCCAGCATATTCTATGTACCAAACACCGCCAAGTTGTTAGCTGACATTATTTGTCTCTTTTTGACCCTTCGGAATTACCCTGTGAGGTAGGCTATGATCCTCATTTTTCAGATGAGAAAATCAGGGCTCAGAGGGGTTAAATGGCTTGCTCAAGGACATCCTGCTGGTCAGGCAAGGCTGGGATTTCAGCACTTGTGCAATTTGCCCCTCTGACCCTTTTTTTTGAGATGGAGTTTTACTCTTGTTGCCCAGGCTGGACTGCAGTAGTGTGATCTTGGCTCACTGCAATCTCTGCCTCCTGGGTTCAAGCGATTTCCTGCCTGAGCCTCCCAAGTAGCTGGAATTACAGGCATGCACCACTATACCTGGCTAATTTTTTTGTATTTTTGGGAGACACAGGGTTTCTCCATGTTGATCAGGCTGGTCTCGAACTCCTGACCTCAAGTGATCCACCCACCTCAGCCTCCCAAAAGCTGGGATTACAGGTGTGAGCCACCACACTCAGCCTCTCTGCCCACTTTTGCCCTGGGGAATATGCAAGGAAAGCCTGAATGCCCCAGCAGCCTCTGACTTTCTCTAATTCTCTCTCCCTCTCTCTCTTTCTTAGATTTTGTGGGCTCTACAGTAAGCTCCGTGTTGCGGCCCGGGGGTGATGTCTCCGGATGGGGAGTCCTTCCCTGCCCTGTGGCTCACTCACAGGGACCCTGAAGGCGGGGAATCACAGCCCAGGAATTGGCCTGACCTCAGCTTGTCCTGCCTCCTGCCCTCTCATCACTCCATTGAAGCTCTGAGGGAAGACCCTGATCTCAGACTCACTCCTCACCAACTGCCCTGCGAGACCCAGGCTTTGAGGAGAGGAGAGCCTGGATGTCCCCTGAGGGAGGGAAGAGTCCCTCCAGACCCTGGGAGGGTCTAATTCTTGCTCCTCCCTCAATTTGAGCTAAGGGAGTCTGCATCCACCCAATCCCTTGGGCTTCTCCTCTACTCTCTAGACTGGCCTGGAGGTCCCGCAGATCCCCAAGGAGAGCAGAGCAGTAGTTCCAGCTCCCCAGGCCCCCTCAGTCTGGAGGGCTGCTGCCTGGCTGTATCCACATCTCCTCTGATCCCTGCCTCCTCAGAAAATTTATTCTAGATACTGCCCCAGGGTGGGCTGGACTCTTTCCTACTCTCTTTTTTTTTTTTTTTGCTGATGTTGGTTCTACCACATCTGCCACAAAGCTCCAGGTGCCACCAGTCTCCCCCAGGACCTCCTCTGCTCCATTCCAGCCTGCTCTCAGCTCACCCTGAGGGAGAGCTGCACCGAGGGATGGACGCACAGGGCCTTGCTGTCAGCTGCAGACTGGGGCCCTGATCAGCCCAGAGTCTGAGAAAGGACCTTCAGGCTCTGGAGGCAGCGGGAGGGGCCCCATGGCCTCGGCAGCTGGAGTTTAGAAGCTGCTCAGCCTGGGCCATCCTGGCCTCCTCTTCCTCTCTGCTGGGACATCTCACCAATGACTCAGCCCTTGACCTTGGCCTGTTTTGCCCAGGCCTCCTCTCTGCTGGGATGTCTCACCAATGACTGGACCCTTGACCCTGGCCTGTTTTGTACAGCACAGACTTCTTGGCCCTATTGTCAGGGTTGGGGGATGTGGAGGGGCCCCAGAGGTGGGGAATTAGGGGATGCATTACCCCTTCTGCCCCTTCTCATGGCCTCCACACCCCAGGCATCTACCAAGGGCAGAGACTGTCTTGTCTCTTTGATACTTTTCTGCATAACTTGAAGTTGCAGGTCATCTCTGAACAGGGTACCCCTGTCCCCCCTCCCAGGCCTTGATACCCTGTCCCAGCCTCTTCCTCCTCCTGGCCCACATCTCGCCTTGCGGTATGCCCAGGTCTACACCTATGGGCAGTGCTTGGAGCCGAGGCATGAGTGTATGTGTATGTGTGTGAGTGTGTGTGCCTGTGAGTGCGTGTGTGAGCATGTGTTAGAGGGGCAGGTGAGAAGTTTCTCCCCCCTCTTCCCACTGTGGGGGCATCTTCCTCCCCCTTGGCAGGGAGCAGGTGAGGGAGGGTCCTGGTGTTTTTTGAACCCCTCATTCCCCTGTGAGTCTGGTGGCAGAGCCATCTCGCCCGGGATCCTCCCCACCCTGGGGCCTGGACAACTCCCCTTAGCACTCCTTGCTGGTGCAGACCGGGTTCGTCCAGCACCCCCTGGTTGAACAGGCCTGGGAGGTGTTTATCCTCGCAGCCTGGGAGGCACCCTACAGGCTGCCAGGGATGCCGCCTCTGCGGGCCTTGGCAGAGGGGTTGGGACCGCTTGAGTGCCATGTGTTTGCCAACCTTGTGTTCATTTCCAAAGGACTTGGACCTGAGAGTTAGGGTTTCTAAGAAAGAACCTAGAAGTCCCCTGCTGGTCTCCCCACTCTGGACCCTAGCCGGAATCAGATGCTGGGGCCTGGCGGGTTCCTGCCACTTGTAACTTACCAAGTCCTCACGCCACTCCTCCACTCACTCCTCCGGGGCAAATGCCTCCCCACAGTGCTTTGATCCCAGCTCTGGGCTCCTCATCCCTGCCCGCGCCTTCCCTGCCAGCATCTTCTCATGCAGGCAGCCTGGAGTAGGGGCGCTGCGAGACAGCGGGTCCCAGTTAAATGCGAGGGTGCTAGGAGCCCTGTGGGAGGGAATGGAGGCAGGAGGGAGTTTCTCAAAGAAGCAAACCAAAGCCCAGCACTAGAAGGGGAGAGCAGAGTTGGGAGAGAGTGAGGGGTGCAGAGACAGGGCGATGAGAGAAGAGTGGAGAAGGAGCAAGGGGGACGGAGGGCACAGAGTGCGAGGAGGAGAGATCAAGAGAGACAGGTGCAGAGACAGAGAGGGATGAGAGACCAGCTGAGAGGCTTCCTGAGAGCTTGGGGTGGGGGAGGGGAAATGGATGGAAAGGCGGAAAAAGGACTCAGGAGGGGGAAGAGGCAAATGAAGATGTGGGTTGGGGGCAAGAATGGGATGCAGGGGAAGGAGAGAGGGGGATGGAGCCAGGATGCGGGGGTATGAGGAGGGGGCTCTGTCTGGGCACTGAGTGAGGGCCGAGAACACCTGCCACCGAGAACACCACTTATTCCCCCGAGAACACCTGCCACCTGGTGTCCTGGCCATACCTTGTTCCCCAAGGACACCCACCAAACCTGTGCCCTGGTTGGGGGAGGTTTAGAAATGACCCCTCAGAGGTCAAGAGGCCGGAGGCCCGGGTCACAGGCAGCCAAAGCCCCATCCTTTTGGGGAAGACTGGAGTGGAAAAAACCACTTCAGAGGGCAGAGGGGGTCCGGGTGACTTAGGAGTGGCCTAACAGGCGCATGGAGAAGAGAGAGGCTAGTTCCCTGATGGGGCAGCCTGACAACGTTCTCACGCCACTGCGCCTGGCCAGCTGCCGTTCTGGCAGAGCCAGCGGGGGAGGCACCAGGGAGTTTGGGGTCAGGAAGGCAGAGTTGTGTGGGCTGATGTTTGCAGGAACCCTAAGGTGGTAGGCAAGGGGTGGAGGTCAGGGTGGGGACCAAACCATAGACCAGGGCCCTGGGTCCTGTAGAGGTGTTGATGGGGTGGGTGGCAGGTGCTCCAGCGGGGCTCTCCTGCAGTAATGAAGACATCATGGGGAGGGGACTTCGTGGTTTACCTCTGCTCTCATTGGGCGATCTGGCTTTAGACTTGAGGAGGAGTCAAGCAGAGGAGATCAGTGCCTGTTTCTCACCCCAGGAGGGCCTTATTGGGCTCTAACCTAGAGCCTTCTGGCTTCAGGTCCCAAAAGAAGTCCCCCTCTAACTGTGACCGGATCAGAGGTCTGCCTGCTTTTTTCTGCCTGATCTGAGGACTCAGAAGAGGCCACGGCATCTAGGGGTGTTTCAATCCCTGGCCCACCGCGCTGGTCAGTTGAGTCCTTCTGGGCCTGGGGCTAGGAAAGCTTTGGTCTTTGGGGACCGGTACCCGTGGAGGAAAACTGCTTTCCTGAGGGGGTGAGGACCAAAGAATCAAGATCCTTTTCAGGCCTGCGATAGCCAAGATGATGAGAACTTTTAGATAAGGCTGTGGGGAGAGTCCCTGGCCTTTTGAACATCCTGCTTGGGCACAGGGGGAACAACCCTTCTCCAGCTTCCAGTGTGAACTGAGAAAGGGAAGCCCTGTCTTTGGAGAAGCTGGGATCTTCCCAGCATGAGAAACTTCTGCAGGCCCCTGCCTGGCTCACGGCTAACCTTTGGGTAGGACTGGAGTTTCCTTAACAGGGAACAAGGGAGCCACAGTCCTGCAGAGCTCTGGGGGCCTGTGCTGTGTGCTGTTAGGATAGCTTGGTGTTGTCTACACCCCATCAGTAAGTTTTGTCTGAGTGTGTCCTCGCTGTTCATTGTCTAATCTGGTAACATTTATTTTGGTCCTGACCCCTTCTGCTGTTGCTGGGTTTGAGCTTCAGTGCAGGTGGAATGACATGCAAATAAAGAAACACTTTCTATCACCCATGCTGGCTGCCACTTCTCTGAGTCACTGGAATCAAGAGGGGTCAGATTCCAACCCCATGGATCATGTTTGGCTGGTCTTAACGGCCCTATCATTGTGGCTGAACAAGATAGTTTATTCCACCATCACATAAAAAAAAAAACACCCTGGAGGTGGGTAGATCACGACTGATATGGCCCTCAGTGTTATCCAGAACCCAGGCTCCTATCTTTCTGCACTTTTCAATCCTGGCTACATCCTCAAGAACACCTCATGGCCCAACATGGCTGCTGCAGCTCTGGTAACTTGGTCCACATTTTATTAGAAGACTTCTGGAAATTCCAGGCTGGGCCCCGTGGCTCAAGCTTGTAATCCCAGCACTTTGGGAGGCCGAAGTAGGGGGATCATGAGGTCAGGAGATCGAGACCATCCTGGCTAACACGGTAAAAACCCGTCTCTACTAAAAATACAAAAAATTAGCCAGGTGTGGTGGCACACACCTGTACCCAGCTACTCGGGAGGCTGAGGCAGGAATCGCTTGAACCTAGTGAGCCGAGATCACACCACTGCACTCCAGTGTAGGTGACAGAGCAAGACTCTTCTCAAAAAAATAAAATAAAATAAAATAAAAGACTTATGGAAATTCCACAGGACTGTGTCACATGGGCCACATAACTGTAAAGGAGGCTGAAAAGATGTGGTCTGTTATCTGGGTGCATTGCCAGCCCAAATAAAAGTGGGCCAGGTGAGGTGGCTCACGCCTGTAATCTCAGCACTTTGGGAGGCTGAGGTGGGTGGATCACCTGAGGTCAGGAATTTGAGACCAACCTGGCCAACATGGCGAAACCCTGTCTCTATTAAAAATACAAAAATTAGCCAGGTATGGTGGTGTGTGCCTGTAATCCCAGCTACTTGGGAGGCTGAGGCAGGAGAATTGCTTGAACCTGGGAGGTAGAGGTTGCAGTGAGATGGCGCCATTGCACTCCAGCCTGGGTAACAGAGCACTTTGCCTCAAAAAAAAAAAATGGGTGGGGGGTTGTTACAAAGAAGAAAGGAGTGAATAGAGGGAGTGATACAGTAGTCTCTGCACACCCCTGACAGCACAGGCTTTACTTTTCCAAGTCCATACAAGCAGAAAAGAGTGGAGCCTCATTTGCTCTAGCCAGAGTGCTCAGTCCAGTTACTTTGCCTCTCTCTGAAGCCCCACTGAATCATTGAGTAAATAGGGAAAACGATAGTGACTCCCTGCAAGGGAAGCCAAAAGCAACACACCAGGGAATGGGTGCACCCTGCTCTGCAGGTGTCTGGCACACTCTAATGTCCCTGGTATCAGGCAGCTACACTGAACACTTGGAAATGGAGTTCTCTTCCAACACATTTTAAACACTTAGTGTATGCTAAGCACTTAAGCTAGAGAAAAAGAACAAAACAGAGATCCTGTCTTAAGCATAAGTCTGGCTGAGGAGATGAACATGTGGCAATAACGCATGACTTCCTATGTGCACGATACTGTCAGTGTCCTAGGCAGGGACACCGTAAATGGCTTTTGGTGGAGTGGGCAGGGTAGGAGGTTTTGCTGTAGGAGGAGAAGTTAGGCAGGAGGGGTCAGGAAGGCCATTCAAAGAGAAGGCAGCTTAAGGAAAGAGACTGAGGTAGGAAGCAGAACTGTGTTTGGAGGACAAAACACAGCTTAATTTGAAGCATGAAGTATGAGGCAAGGAGGAGTCAGAGATGAGTCTGGAGAGACAGGCCACGGCCAGACCATGAGCAAGATTGGGGGCCATGGACAGGCGTTTGGACTTAAGAGCAATGGGGAACCACTGAAGGATTTGAAGCAGAAGGAAAATGACTCAATTTGCATTTTAGAAAGAGCGCTCTGGTGACAGCGTTAGGGGACTGGATGAGGGGTAGACTGTTAGCCCATTTTTGCATTGTTATAAAGCCATACCTGATAATGCATGCTTTATTTAATTTATTTATTTATTTTGAGATGGAGATCTCCTTCTGTCGCCCAGGCTGCAGTGCAGTGGCACATTCTCGGCTCACTGCAACCTCTGCCTTCTGGGTTCAAGTGATTCTCCTGCCTCAGCCTCCCGAGTAGTTGAGATTACAAGTGTGCACCACCACATCCATTTTAGTAAAGACAGAGTTTCACCATGTTGGCCAGGCTGGTCTTAAATTCCTGGTCTCAAGTGATCCACCTACCTCGGCCTCCCAAAGTGCTGAGATACCAGGCATGAGCCACTGCATCTGGCCTGCATAATTTTTTATTTTTATTTTTTTGAGACAGGGTCTTGCTCTGTCACCCAGGCTGGAGTGCAGTGGTGCAATCACAGTTCACTGTAGCCTCAACTCCCAGGCTCAAGCAATCCTCCCACGTCAGCCTCCCAAGTAGTTGGGACCACAGACAAGCACCATTATGCTTGCCTATTTTTTTTTTTTTTTTTTTTTTTTTTAGGGACGGTGTCTCACTATGTTGCCCAGGCTGGTCTCAAACTCCTGGGCTCAAACAGTCCTCCCACCTCAGCCTTCCAAAGTGCTGGGATTGCAAGCATAAGCCACTGCACTTGGTTAAACTGGGCAGTTTAGAAAGAAAAGAGATTTATTTCGGCACATGGCTCTGCAGGCTGTACAGGAAGCATGTTGCTGGCATTTGCTTCTAGTGAGGCCTCAGGAAGCTTACAGTCATGGTGCAAGGTTAAGGGAAGCCAGCATGTCACATGGCAAGGGCAGGAGCAAGACAGAGAAAAGAGGGTAGTCCCAGGCTCTTAACCAGATCTTGTGTGTGTGAACTAACTCATCACCAAGGGGATGGCGCTACACCATTCATGAGGGATCCACCCCCAAGATCCAGTCACCTCCCACCAGGCCCCACCTCAAACACAGGGGATGACATTTTAACATGAGGTTTGGAGGGGATACATGGCCATACCATATCACAGACCACTTTGGTGAAAGAGAAACCAGAAGCCTGGCCTGAAACAAGGAGGTGTCGGTGGGTCTAAGAGAAGTAAGCCGTCCCATCTTTAGGAAGTAGAAGGGAACTGACTGTGAGAGTAACGTACAGGCTGGCAGAAAGAGGATGGTTAAAGCTTTTACTTGGGGACTAGAAAGATCTGCCAGTATGGCAGGGGAGCAAGATGATCAGTTCAGTTTGAGATGTGCTAAGTTTAAGATGTATGTGAGACACCTTGGTGGAGTTGAACAGCAGTCAGCTGACATGAATTTGGGAGCTCGAGAAAAATCCGGGTCAGAAGTATCGAGGTGTGGGTAGTGGTGGAAATCAGAAGCATAGAGGAGCCTGCTCCAGGTGACTGTGTGGTGTGAAGAGAGCATGGAGCTCTGGAACACTGGAGAACACTGCAAGATAAAGCACTGTCGGAGGAACAGATGTCTGTAAAGGAGAGGACAGTGGAAGAGTCAGGTTTAGGAGGAGAATCATAAGTGTGGCTTTATAGATGCCCAGGATGTAGAGTTCAAGGGGAAAGTCAACTGGCCAAGTAGAGCAGAGGCCCTGTATAAGAGACTGAAAAATGTGTCCATTGGATTTGGGAACAAGGAGGCCACACCTGAACTTGATAAGAGCATGTTCACGAGTTGGGGGAGAGCCAGACTGAGGTCTGTTCAGGGAGGGAGTAGGAGGCAACGGGTTGAAGACGACTATTTGGAGAAATGTGGATAAGAAGGGGAAATGAGCGACTGGAATTCATCCAGGCAGGAGCAATTACACTCTGGGAACCAGCAGCGGGCAAGGAGCAGCATTACTTGGAGGGAGTGTGGAATCTCTCTCTAATTATGGGGCATTCCCAGTGCTCACTGGTCATGGCAAGTAAGAGGATAACAATAAAGAAGAGAGAATGACTAAAGGAACAGGGTCCCCAGGGAGGTCCCCAGGCTAATCTTATGCATTTTCCCCCGAACGTGGAATCAGCCATTTCTCTAAGAAACCTTGTTTCTATGACTGTTCAGTTGACAGGGCTAAGATACATACACTATGGATGGATGGGTGGATAGATAGATAAATAGATAGTTTACAGGGCTAAGATATATATATACACAGTAGCTAGCTAGCTAGAGATAGACAGTTGACAGGGCTAAGATACATATATGATAGATAGACAGATAGATAATAGGTAGACAGAGAGACATATGGGATCTCTCTGTGCCTGTGGTAAAATGCCTCATGAGTTAATATTAATACTCAAGGGTTTTGGCTAAACATCTTCAAGTTTAACATCTATACCTCCTTTTTCCCAACATTGGGAAATATTAGTTCTGAAGAACACTGTATTCATTTGTTTTATCCCATATTCAAGCACTCAGATAGACTACTACCAGTATAATTATTTAAAACATTCTCTCCTGCTTATTTATTTAAATTAGTACTATATCCACATTGTGTGTGTCCCATAAACCATTTTATACTATACCCTTTCCTTATATCTCATTCAGTCTATTCTGCATGTAAGTATATATAATCAATACTATCAGGCTTTTTGTTGTTTAAAGCTCAGTTTCTAACAGATCCCTAAGGAATACTTCATGAAAATAAAATTCCCAAAGTTTTTGCATGATGATAATGACAGTTTGTGGCTACTACACTGGCAAGTAAGTTCAATTGGTATAAATTCTTGGCTTTTCTCTTTCCTTATCTTAAATTATCCCATTTTCTTTTGCCATTTAAGTGTTGCTGTCAAAAAGTCTGACACAGACTAATTTTCTTTCCTTTTTAAGTAACAAATACACACACGCACACAGAGAGTCATGTGCTGCATGCTTCCTTCCATGACAGACTGTGTAGTGGCTCCCTAAGATTATAAAGCAGAATTTTGGCCAGGCACGCTGGTTCATGCCTGTAATCCCAGCACTTTGGGAGGCTGAGGCCAGTGGATCATGAGGTCAGGAGTTTGAGACCAGCCTGGCCAACATGGTGAAACGCTGTCTGTACTAAAAATACAAAAATTAGCTGGCATCGTGCTGTGCATCTGTAATCCCAGATATTTGGGAGGCTGAGGCAGGAGAA